CTTCGCCCGGTGTGTCGCCGTTCTATGCGACGGAAGTCGATGATCGTGATCCTATGGGGATGACCAGCTTTCCAGAAATGACAGATTAACGCGATTGACTACTTCTTACTTGGGAAACTTGATCTACACCACGCATCCACGCTGAGACTGATGCAGTGAGCATCTTCTACTCGGTCTGAACGTAAACACGAGTATGCTCAACAAATCCGTCATCTCACCTGTGACCATGGTGCACCGTCTAGGTGTTTACATCAGTCCACACACGATTGCTCCAAAGTGTGTCGTCACTCGTGTAGAGCGTACTCATCTTTTTCCTTTCGCTGCCTTTTTTATCCTCTTTATTTCCCCCTACCATCCGTCCCTGTACGGATCGTGTTTGGTTGTTATCGTAATGGCCATATGTCCGCCAATACGTTTACGTAGTTGTCGTACTCCGGCTTGGCATGGAAAAATTGGGGTTCAACGACTCCAGGAACTTCTTGAAGGAAATATTTTCCGTCGTGCATAATGGCACACCCGAGCGGATGACAAGCTGCATCAGGCCCTCCTCCCATTTCTCCTCAGTGTCACTCCTGTAAGAAATAGCTCGTTGATTTCTGCTTCCGCGAGCTGCATGAGCTCTCGTGATGCTTCATCCCACTGAGGGATCTCCTAGATGCATCGCCCACACCGCGGACCCGTGGCAGAGTCCCCTTCTTCGTTGGATACTAGTTCTCAAGCTGTGGGTAGCTTGCTGACCAAAGACCTTATTGCGAGGGAGAAGAACTAAGAGCTACGAAATCGTAATTGACATGAGTTCGAGTGTACGTGGAGTGAGTTCTGACGAGCCGCCATGGGGTACTTCAACCGAAGATTTACAGCGCGGCACATGCGGTGGTTCAATGGGGGGAGCTTCATGAGTTTGTCATGCCTTCTGGCGTGAAAGCTGTTTACGTGCTCCGTTACGGGTTTGCCTCCATAAGCGTAGACATCAGTTGTAATGGTCCGTAACGTGAATTTGCCCATCTAGCGAAAAATCCCGAGAAAATTTTGGGAAATTCTCATTGATTTCTGTAAATTTTACCCCAATTCGTATGTGATGAGTGAGAAAACTCCTGGGCTCAGCAGCTGAGGAAAGCGATTACATATATTCCTACTCCAACACTGATTTGCCCTCATTTTCCATTGTATACGAGATTACTCATCGTTGTGAAGGTATGGGTATTACGATTTGGCTGCTGACGTGCTGGCTGAAAACCCTGCACTCACCTACAGGTAAAATTGGGGAAAAATTGTGGATTTTTCATGAGCGTGTTGGGCGAAGTTGTGTAAATTTTAGAAAATTTATTATATATTTTTTTCTGAAAAATTTACGTCAACTTTTAGTATATTTCAGAAAATTTATGGAGTTGTAGTTGTTGTCTCTTGGAACAGACGAATATGGGTTTTTGATTTTTATACACATTTTGAACCTCAGAAGAATTGGGAGAATTGTTTGGATTTTTCATAAAGTGTTTGGTGATGTTATGTAAATTTTTGGAAAATTTTGGAAAATTTACGTAAATTTGTTAAAATTTATTTTTCGAAAAAAAAGTGAATCTCGAGAAGATTAGGTAAATTTTGTTAATTTCAATAAATTGAGATTGTTGTCTCTCCTCAGTTGCCTCGAACCGGACGAATATGAGTTTCTGAATTCCCTAATATTATCGCAGGCGTCACCAGAAGAAGGGGTCAAGCAATTGGCTCAGTTGGCTAGGAAACATATTGAGAAACTACGCACGGTAAAATACGGTGTTTGCTTCTCTCAGCTGCTGAGCTCAGAAGAGTTCCCTATACAGTGTTGGAGTAGGAATATATGTAATCGCTTTCCTCAGCTGCTGAGCTCAGAAGAGTTTCCTATACAGTGTTGGAGTAGGAATATATGTAATCGCTTTCCTCAACTGCTGAGCTCAGAAGAGTTTCCTATACAGTGTTGGAGTAGGAATATATGTAATCGCTTTCCTCAGCTGCTGAGCTCAGAAGAGTTTCCTATACAGTGTTGGAGTAGGAGTATATGTAATCGCTTTCCTCAACTGCTGAGCTCAGAAGAGTTTCCTATACAGTGTTGGAGTAGGAATATGTGTAATCGCTTTCCTCAGCTGCTGAGCTCAGAAGAGTTTCCTATACAGTGTTGGAGTAGGAATATATGTTATCGCTTTCCTCAACTGCTGAGCTCAGAAGAGTTTCCTATACAGTGTTGGAGTAGGAATATATGTAATCGCTTTCCTCAGCTGCTGAGCTCAGAAGAGTTTCCTATACAGTGTTGGAGTAGGAATATATGTAATCGCTTTCCTCAACTGAGCTCAGGATAGAAGTGTGCAGAAACCAACAAGAAATTCCTCTTATATTTTCATATTGTCATCACCAACCATGTACATATTTTACCCCTACACTGTTTGGTACATCGTATTGTTTGTAGATCACGAAGGCGATCCAGGAAGGGCGAAAGAATCGGGATAAAAAAGGGCTGAAAATTGCACTAAAAGAGGTAATACCACAGAGCAGATTGAGGAAAATATAATAAAAAAACGCATCGCTCCGCTGCTGGCGATTTCAGTATGATGAAAAACACATACAGTGTGAACCAAACCGGTATGTGGAGTAATATTTTCAACACCTAGTTGGAGTAATATCAAATCACAGGTGAAATTTCACACCCTAGTGATATGAAAAACACTAGTGAAAAATATATATTTCACGACTACTGCATATAACCGCAAATATCGCGTTTTATGCCACTTCGCGTAAAACGGGTGAAACTGCAAGATTTTTCCTATTTTTGAAAAAGAACTTACATTTTCTTAATTTCATTTTCCGACTAATTTTGATGAAAATTTTCAACGATATAAGCGGTCATTTTGAAAACTACCGCACGCGGAATCCCCAACAACGTACAGTGCATTTTTGTTATTCGTTATCAGTTCGAGGAAGCACTTGACGAGTATATTCCGGTGTTGATGGCAGAGGCTAAGATATATTGGGAAATGGAGGATTATCAGATGGTGGAGCATCTGTTCAGGCAGAGTGCGGTAATGGTGAAGGGGGAGGGCTGGGCACGTGGCGACCCAGGTTCGAATCTTCGGGGGGTAATTTTGCTATTTTATTTGTTTTTATGAGGAAAGGCTGGAGAAAGAGAATTCATAGAAGTTTCACCTCAGTGATATGAATAACGTATTTCACGACTACTGCATATCGCGTTTTTCACCGAGTTTTACGACGCCACTACTTCACGTAAAACGGGGAGTCGTGAGACTCCATTGTACTCATATTTATTAAACATTTTTTGTCTTTTAGCATCTACTACTCTTCTTAGAAATATTTCCCCGTGTATATTTCATCAGTTTTTTATATTATCTATAAACAGTGAAGTTACAGCGGTGATATGAAAAACATAGCTCACATTTTGACACCGAGAAAAACTGATGTGAATGACCGTGAATAACGCGTAGAACACGTGTACATCGCCTTTTGTGTTTTCACTTCACTTCATATCGTGTTTTTCACATGGAGTATTACGCTACTTCGCGTAAAACGGGTTGTGAAACTCCATTATTTATTGTTCTCTATTGTGGTTAATTATGAATGTGAAAATTTTTCTCGTGATGAGGGCGAGAAATATGCGAGGAGAATTACGGTACGAAAATTGCAAGAGAAAAATGATAATTCTCGTATATAGAATTTGACGGATTTACGGTATATTAAATTTTTTATTATTGGAGTTTTACGACCCGTTTTACGTAAATTGGCGTGGTAAAAGTCGGTGAAAAATGCGATATTCGCGGTAATATGCAGTAGTCGTTAAATATATTTTTCACTAGTGTTTTTCGTATCACTAGGATGAAACTTCATTGTGTTGATTTTTCTTACCCGTGATATGAAAACCATATTTCACATGCCGTTAAAAATGTCAAGAAAATGAGGATAAATTCGCTTCATATTCCGAATATTGCGTTTTCCACTGGCTACTTCGCCACTCTGTGTAAACCGGCGTTAGCAGTCCAACAGAGTATAATAAAATTAATGAGCTCGTTGTTGGGTTTCGGCCGAAGCACTTTTCGTAGGGGTATCAGGTTCGACCTTGCTCATGCACTTAGGAATTCTGTTCCGAGGATGAAAGATGGAGGCTCAATGTGGCACATGTGTTTTTCATGCAAGAGAAATTTGAGGAGTGTATTCGGTGAGAATTTGGGAAGGGTGTGGTATGAGTAGTGGAAATAATTAAATTATTTTTTATTTATTTTGCGAAAAAGGGAAGTTTTCAATTGCCCTTTGCTGAGTTTCAAGACTGCTATTAACAACGAGTTTTTGATCCGTGAAATTCAATTCTGGGCGCACTCTTGATGTTTGCAGTTATTGGAGTTTCACCGTTTCTATGTGAAGTGGCGTAAAACTCGGTGAAAAACGCGATATGCATCAGTCGTGAAATATATTTTTCACTATATAGTTTTTTTCCCGAGCAGCACTCCTTTTCACCATGCAGATAGCCAGTATATGGACGCAAACTCAGCAGCTGATCCGAAAGAGCGGCTAAGCCCGGGTTTATGCTCTGAAGAAAATTCACATGGGTGGTATATGTATAGAGTCGGCTCTATAGTTTTTCGCATTTTGCATGAAAAATACGGTATTGCTATTTATGGTCGTGATTC